TGCCAAGGTTGAGAAACACTGCTCTACTCCAACCACTTAGCGCTTTCTCAGACAGATGGGTTCCCACATGCAGCTGATGCTCTTAAGGAGAAAAGCACAAGGTTTCAGGGCCTGCCAGAGATGTGCACACACATTTCCAAGCCTCCTGTGATAAAAGGGCAAACTTCCCTTACACCGATCCAACTTTTGTCTCCCCCATTTGATTCTTGCAGGTGGAAGCAGGACGAAAGGTGAATGTGTTCACCTGTGCATAATGAAGCTGCTTTCATCAACCCACATAGCCTGTATTCACAGTTAGAAGCCAAAAAACAAAACAAAAAAGTCTCATGCTGAGGACTGATTAAGACAAAATTCTTTATTAAAAACAACACTAATGGGTGGAGGAAACTATTCATAGTGACAATGATAATTACATAGCTGTTGCTGCAGGGCCAAAATGCAACTCATATTTCAGTGGGGGTACACTTCCTTAACCTTTTCTTTTAATTAAGTTTGCCAGAGCTCTTATTGCACCACACTCAGCTTCAGAGCTTGCAGTCTTTGGGAGTTAGAAGTTAGGTTACTTTATTCTCGATATCTTTGGAAGCATCTGCAGCCCTCACCACCTTCTCCATTTTTTACCTTGATTCAGGGGAATCTTTAACGCCCTGTGGACATCTCTCACTCATGGAAGATTGGCCTCAACATACTTTAAACATGTCCAAATCGATTATCGTATGCTCCACAGAACTCCAACTTCGAAGAACAGAGTAATTTTTATCATCGTTTCATAGATCCTGCAGTTGAGCTAGAAATAATGCTCTCTTGGGGATTGCTGATGTCATGGGAGATCTTCAGGGAAAAGAGTCAGACTGTAGAAGAGCCTTCGCAGCTGGCAGATCTGATAGACTATAATTCCCATCCTTCCCAGCCAACAATAGTCAAAGCAGTCCACAGACTGCCTGGGCATAAAAAAATGGCCTACAGCGGGGGTTCCTAAACTTTTTGCCATCACACCTCCTTTTAGTGTAATCTTAATGTACACACAAAGTTCTCAGCTGTTTCATGAGAGCCAGAGGTAGGTGGTGGCTAAGAGTCAGAGTCAAAGGCTCTGCTTACGTGACATGTATACTCACGGTTAAGTACTCTGTGGTTTCTTCAATTAACTCAGTTTTCATGGTTAAAGTGTCATGGAGAACCATAAACTAACCACAAACTATATGGGGTGGATTTGAACAATAGACTGGTTGATCTGGTTTGTGGTTCATTCCGTCATGCATATATAGCTGATGGTTGTTCACTCAAGGGGAAGAAGAGAAAAGCAGGTTTTTGCATGTGCCTTGTCTTGACTGAGAATGAGCAGGAAAGGGTAGAGTTTTTAGCAGGTTTCCAACCCCTGGGATTTCCTGGTGGTATTCCATCCAAATATTAGCCATATCTTTGTGAGATGTACCTTCCTTCGTCTTACGACTTCTACTGCAGTACTGATTCCCCTATAATAATCCACAGAGCTTATAGTATTCTAAATTTCTCTTAATTAGCTCCTTTTCTTCATTGGAGAGGGGGCACTTCTTGGCGATTTTCTCCCATTGTTACTGTTTTGTTAAATAGCATGTCCAAAAAAAAGGAAAAAATAATGAAAGAAAATCATTAAAATATGCCTGGGGAAACAGATGCTAGATAATTAAGGGGTAATTAATAAGTAACAAGGACCAATGAATAAGTAAATAAGTAAACTAGTCCAACACATCTGGAGGGCATCAAGTTGAGGAAGCGCTGTAGAAAATAAAGAATTTGATGTATAATAGGACATTGAAAACAAGGATATTCAATTTTGGGGGGCCAAATAAGCTGCACCCTGAAAAATAATAGGTGGTACAAGGAGAAAGACTCAATCTGATGTCATTATACTGGTGTCTGAGTTCAACTGAACTAAATAAAGTTAATATAATTAACTTCTAGTCATTTATTTAATCATTTTCTTCCCTTCAGTCACATTCAGAATCACAGACTAGTTCCGCAGTTTTGAAGGTCTTTGCAGTGGGGCGGGCAGTTATATGTGCTCCGAGAACAGCGCATGTTACACTTCTGCTCTTCGAGCTGCATTGGTTGCCAGTTTGCTTCCAGGTCCAGTTCAGGATGCTGGTTTTAACCTTTACAGCCCTTCATGGCATGGGGCCAGGCTGTTTGAGGGACCGCCTCTCCCCAGTTACATCAGCCCGCCACATCAGATCTTGCAGAGAAGGCATGCTGCGGGTACCGTTGGCTGGGCTGCACTTGGTGGGTCCCAGGGGACTCTGGCACCCACCTTATGGAATATCCTCTCTCCTGAGATTAGATTAGCACCATATCTTTTGCTGTTCTGAAAGGCCCTCAAGACCTGGTTATGTGATCAGGCCTGGGGCTCCCAGGGCCTGCTTAGATTGCTCCATTGCTGAAGGGGCCATTTTTAATTCCCCCTTTCCTTATGGTTTGGTTTTTTATGGTACTTATTAATATGGTTTTTTTATATTATTTTCCTGTTCTTTTTATATTTGTCTTTTTATCTGATTGTTGTACGCCACCCAGGGTTGCTTTGGCGAGATGGGCGGCTGTATAAATTTGCTAAATAAATAAATCTTTGGGGCCTCAGCTTGTGCTAGGTGTGCCGGTGAGCTGAATTTCTGGTAACTGTATGGACATAGACTACCCTTCTTGACTTTTTATAGTATTATCTTACTTCCAAGGACATTCCTATAATCTCTTTGATCCCATCCATCCACTTGATCCATCTTCCTCTTCTTCCCTCAACTTTCATCAGCTCAACAATCATGGTTTTCAGTCCATTGTCTGTTCACATCCATGTGCCCAAAGTATGTGAATTTCTGCTTCCATGCTGATTGTCACCTCAAGAGAATGGTCAGTCTTTATGTAGTCCAGAACATTGGTTTTTCTTATACTCCATGAAGTTACCATCTTGGTAACCATCTTCAAATCCAGAACTCAAAGGAATTTTTCTTGTTTCTCTCATACCATCTCAGAGTCCATATATAGACACTCGCTTCAATCATTCTGATCCTTGTCATACTGAAATATGCTTCATGATTTTGTCTTAATTAGTCGTTGCATTCCTTCCTATGTCGCTTTCATTTAAAAACTGTTTTCTGAAAGCACAGCAGAAGCATTGAATTCTCCCTGAATGCGATGATGGCTTGTCTTCAAACTCATCAGCTTCTGCTGCAAATGCACTGTAGCAACTAGATGCCAGCTTTTTTTTCCTGTGACTTGTCTTCTTTTTTTTGGTGATCCATTCTTTAGATGCTAAACTGAACATTCCTGTGAGTGGAATGATCACTCTGGTTTTGAACAACCTGCCAGGTTATTCAAACAGTACGAGATTAATGGCTCTCAATGTCTGGAAAATTTTGTCCACTCTGGAATGTCAGAGCTTTCAGCTAATGGGAAGGGCAAGATAAATGTCAGTAGATGATTGAAAATAGGGCGGGGAAGTTGAAATTTCACAACGGTTGGCTGGAAGTACAGTTGGGTGCATTGGGTTCAGCGTAGCAATATTGCCAAGGATCCAAGTCATCCTGCTTCCCAAATTTCTAAAGCTTCAAATACTACAGAATGCAGTGTAACTTGCTAATGCCTGTCCCTGGAATTTCCTACTTCTTGGGAAGTGTGGTGAGTCACCCCTTTTCTGTAACAATCCTATAGGGCACTGCCAATTTATAAAGCCCATATGAAAATAGAACACCAGACTCCTTTCAGCAGGCAGTTTTTTATGGCAATGTTTTGTTACACTTTCCTAAAACGACTGCTGGGTGATTGCAAGATATGCCCGTACATAATGTTTTAATTTTTTTAAAAAAACCCCGCAACTTACATTTTTCTGATGAAACAATGTCATCCGTAATGCAGTGGCCAAGTCTGAGCTGAGCAAATACTGTGCCAACTGTTGGAACAATAACACCAACAAGATCAATGCAATCTCAGTATTAAAGGAAAGGTCCTGAGACTCCAATTACAAAAAATTGTTTAAAAGGTCCTAGTACAGTGCACCAAAAGGGAACAAGCATTTGCAGCTCTGCAATGGGGATAGATCAGGGCTATTTATCTTGCCCAGACTCGGCCAGTCCAATGCAATCTTGAAGGGAAAAAATACTGAGGGTCCCATGAAGGGTGGGAGTCAGCAAGGAGCCTTATCAGGGGCTGTCTCTACCCTTGTTTCCTGAGATGATGAATGTCCCCAATTTTCTGGCTTTTAGGAAGACATTAAAAAGATTTTTCTTCTGCAGAGCATTTGAGTGCTGGTTCTTCTGCAGAGCATTTGAGTGCTGGTTCTTCTGCAGAGCATTTGAGTGCTGGTTCTTCTGCAGAGCATTTGAGTGCTGGTTCTTCTGCAGAGCATTTGAGTGCTGGTGATCCTGGGCTACCTTAGTTTGATTGCCAATGGTTTTAGTTGCAAGCCATTTTGAATCCTTTGGGAAACTGGTAGTCTATCAATAAGTGTGTAGGGAGGGGGAGGAGGGATGAGATTCCATGGGGGGGGGGAGCAGTAAAATGGCCAGCTCAGAGTATTGCAGAAGACCATGAAAAATCCAGCCTGAGAACAGTTAGAGCAGGAGTTGAAAATGGTTAGAGCGGGAGTCGAAAATGTCCCTTTTCCACCAAAACTGGAGCTACCAAACTTCGATAGGTTTTCTATTGCTTAGGCAATGGAGCTGTTCCACGGAGCAGAGAAATTCCTCCCAACCCAGTTTGGTGAGATAGCAGGATTGTCCAGTCTTGTAATAAAAACAGATTTTTCAAATGAAGGACATGAGCAGAAACAGGTGCTGCATTACTTTCTCCCCCTGAAAAGAACTCATTTGAGGAAGCCTCCTCAGAGTAGTGAAATGGGCCAGGTTCAAGCACAGGCCCAGAACTAGAATCAGCCCCCTCTAGCTGAAACCCTCTCTCTGCCTTGGGCTCTGCAACCCATGGAGGTGATGCCACTGGTGAGCTGAATATAGAGGGGCCCCCAAGTGCTAATTTATAGGGGAGAACATTGACAATCAAGGGTACTTGAGAGTTGCCCAGTAAACCCAGTTAGTTTAACCTTGAGACACAACAGATGAACAAGAGCAGAAAGCTACCTATTCCATAGGTATAGGAGTATAGAGCACTACTACGTATTCCATAGGCTGTAGTGAGTATAGAGCACTGTTGTCCAAACTTGGCCACTTTAAGATGAGTGGACTTCAACTCCCAGAATTCCCCAGCCAGCCATGTCCATGAGTGGACTGAAGTACAGGAAGTCCAC